GGAAAGAGATAGTTCCTGTTGTCATTAGCTGGCTTGTTAGAATGCAAGTTGTGGTCCTCTGCAGATTCACAATTTAAGCAAGTTGCTGTGCATCTACAGAGGCTATCCTTCAACTCCTCCTTCCTAGCCAAATGGGTAATTGTTTGCCTCCTCATTAACAGCCTCATTTCTTTTTTTTTCCTGTGTTCTTCCTTTTTTTTAGTAGAATATTACAACCGATTTTTTAAGTATTTTATACTTCTAAGAATATATAGTCCAAACTGCAGGCCAAATGAGAGCCAGCTAATACTTACAAAGAACAGTGACTAAGTTGCACCAAAAGGGAGGAGCACTCCAGCAGCAAATGCAAACCTAGCCTTAACAATTAAGGTAAGGGACGCTGCTATTCAGTGAAACAGCCACCAATTCATTAGCAAATGAGAATGCTTGATACAAACAACCATTACATAGTAAAACACACCAGATCCATCAATATCTACTGAAAGTTAAATTATACCCTACCCAAAAGTAAACATTTTCAAATTTGTTACACTTCTGGATAATTTTGTAGAATTGAATGGCTATGTAGTACCTTATGTTCATATGTAAAATTTAAAATCCATCATTGAGAATGAGGTAATCAAAGAACCACAAAAGATTACTCACTCAGTTTTGCGATTTCATAGAAATGTCTCAACTCTGAATCTCTCACTTATTTAACTACTTTGTGTTGGGTCGCTGTCAGTTAATGCAATAAATTCTCTCAATCAAGAATTTTGTAGCATCAAATTCTACTACAAAACACAAATTATCAAAGTTTCTTTCCTTTGAGGAACCCAGACATAGCTTGTGCCCATAAGACATAGTTAGTTCCGTCAAGAACAACGGAAATAGGGTGGTTGGAGGAGTCCAAGCGATCCATGAGAAAAAAGCAGTACTATCGAAGCCGAATCTGAAAAATCTGAGGTTACCAGTGAATGCAGAGGGTCGAAATCAGTGGGAAATGAGTGAACGGACCAAAAAAAAGATGACCAGAAGGCACTAAATTGGCTGGTCAAAGTTGGTCAACAATTCTGGTCAAAGATGACGTCACAATCTGGTTAAGATGACGTCACTGCTGTGTCACAGGCGCGGCGCAAGTTAGCACAGACAGGCGCGGCGCATGATAGCAGAGGAAGCAAGCGGCGCACGGAAGCAGCCAGGGCTGACGTCAGCTGACGTCAAAAACACGCGGCTTACGTTAGCAGATGAGGCCGCGGCGCACGATAGCACAGGGCAAGTGTGAGGCGCGTAGAGCGCGTCTGAGAGGCGAGGAGGCGCGTGGATGGAAGTTCTGGCCGCGCGTGGCGGCGTGTGGAACGTCGGATGATGATGAATCTGGTGGCGTTGGATTCGTCGTGAGGAGACGAAGGTTCTGGTGTGGTCCAATCTGTAATTTAGATAAGGACGAGATATGCAACAATCTGCTCAAAATTAAAATGCGATGCAGAAGAGACTAGGCAATACACCTGTGCTCTGATACCATGAAACAAATAAGAGAGTGATATTGAGAGAGTAAGAAAACTCTTGTATTGAATGTATCTGAAAGTGTAAGAAGGGACTCCATTTATAGGAGTTGTTTGATACAACATCATTATGAAAGCAGAACATAAAATAAGATAAAGCAGCCGAAAGCGAAGGCACTGCTCTGGCATCCTATAGCTATATATGATATATTAATATATGCATTAGTATGATACAACTATATGTTAATATAATATATACATGTTAATATAATATTAGGATACATTAATATAATACATATTAATATAATACATTAGCATTGACTTACCATATTTATCTTATACAAGTTATGTTTTATAAACTATTATAAATTATATAAATATTTCAGTTTCGTGATTTATTTTCTGACCACTATTTGTGAAAAGGAAACCCATAGATATGTTTGTCTATATTTTAAAGAATATTTGATTATAACCTTATATACAATTATATTTTGTAAGTACCACTACGAGAGTCACATGCCTTGGGATTTAAATAACCATTGGTCTCTGTTTAACCACTTTGTGGTCCTCTGCTTGTTATGGATCCATTGACCTCTGTTCTGTGCGGAGCTAAGTGCTACACTATTGTGGGAGCCACCTCTAGAATCTTTACGAGCCACCTCTTGAATCTGTACCTCTGTTCTGTGTGGAGCAAAGTACTGTGCGGAGCTAAGTGCTACACTATTGTGAGAGCCACCTCTAGAATCCGTACGAGCCACCTCTTGAATCCGTACCTCTGTTCTGACTGTTATTTCTGTGACCTTTGTTCTGTTCTGTTCTGTACCGCGGTTATGGTCATTTACTTACATAATTTCTGTAATTCAGTTTCTGCCACTTGCATGATTTGTTTACCAAATTACCGCGGTTATGGTTATTTATTTACATAATCTCAGTTTTGTTACTTAAAGGATTATTTGTTCCGACTAAGTTATCTTAAATGTTTTGGCCTAACTAACTATCCATGGTTATTTCGTGTCCCTTATACTCTTGGTATAATATTTCTCACTCTGTCATGTGCTTATAGTTGTTTACCAATTTTTAAGAAATAGTTTTTGGAAAGTCTTAAGCACACACAACACTTTTATTGATATTTTTCTATGTAAATATCGGCATTTTTGGTCAATATATTTTGTAATAAAAATAGAAACTGCAATGATTATTTTGGTACCCTTATTTAAATATTACCTCTGCTCGCTTTTATTAATTTGTTTAAGAATTGGCCGGAGGTAACCTCAGTTACTGGCCATCACGATGCTTAATCCTTGGATACGGGGAGCGGGTCGTGACAGTGCCTATTTTAGCCTGATTAAAAAAAGTTGTGTTTGAAATATTGATTGGCTTTTCTTTTTTTTTTTTTAATAGTTGATTTGATAGTTGTGATAGAAAAGATGAAATGATTATAGTTTAGATGTAAAATTTTGTTTTATTAATTATTTTAATTTATTTTATCTTTAGTAACTATTTTAATCCAAAATTATCTTTCCAAATAGAGCCTAAATAAAAAGTGTAAGTGGAGAGACATAGTACAAATTTATAGCCACAGATGTCCCGTATGCTTTTAAAGGGATGATGTATAATATTATTAATGTGAGAATTGTTATTAAGGGAATTGTTAGCATGTAAATTGTTACAGCAATGATAGGGGTCCAAATTTCTCAAGCTCGAATGGTTCGAATTGATCAAAACGACGTCGTTTTGAACACAAAACAACACAAAATGACGTCGTTTTGGTCAATTCGAACCATTATTCGAGCCGCGAATATTGTGACGACCAAATATTTTTCAAATTGTTATTGAGTGAATCATGAAAAATTATATTTATTTGTGATATATTTTAGTGAAAGGATTAAGTATATAAAATATCATATATATCCTTTTGCAGTGTTTGATATATTTTAATATTAAAAGTTATATTTTATAAATATATTATTATATTAATTTGTTTTTATCTAAAAAATATAAAATAATGATTTCTTCAAAAGCAACCCACGGTTTCTCCAAAACCAGCCATGGTTTTTAAAAAGTGTATTTCATCCCATTCACACAATAATAGAGATGTTGCCTCATTTATCAACCCAGCAGCTTTCACTTCATCCATCTAAGGCCGGCGGAGCACAAGAAGGAGAACATCAATTTCAATGAGAACGAGGATATTGCCTCATTCAGGTATGATTTTAGCACAAGAAGGAGAACATCAATTTCAATGAGAACGAGGATATTGCCTCATTCAGGTATGATTTTTTTTTTCTTACTAATTTATGGGTTTTTGGATGTTTGAATATATATATATCAATGTAAGTTTCTTAAATATTAAGTGTATTATTAATATAACGTAAGATCTTGGATTCAAGCCTTACTTACGTTATAGTATAATAATTTTTTTATTTTAACATATAAAAATTTGTCATGAGAAGAAGGTTTGGAGGTTTGGATAGTAAGTTCAGTGTTTACATATATAATAATAGCTATTTTGCAAACAAGAATGATATATCTCACTAAAGTATTAATAGTGAAGTGAAAATTAAAAAAAAAAAAAATTTAAGATCAAAACATCACATCACTAAGTGAGACTCAGCACTCGTTTATTGCTCCCAATTTAGAGCTCCAAACATTTTTCTTTTGCAAACAATGGTGACCTCACTACTAATTTTAATCCCAAGCCACAACTCAGAAAACAAACGGGCTTTTGTTGATAAGTTTTTATTGGTCTTCTCTCGTCTGCTTCTTCTGGATGGATCTGAATGTCATCCTCAACTCTTCAAATTTTGTTAGCTAATAAGGTAATAAATATTATTTTCTTTTCTTTTTACTGTAGATGTTACTCTTTTTATTTGCTTTTTAGATTTTGATCACTGTATTTACTGATGAGAGTTTGGAGTTTAGATCTATACTTCAGCTACTAATTTTAAAAAACAAAATCAATTTTCATGTTTGTTCTTCTTAAAACAAGATTGTTTTGCTATATGGTTAATGAATGATCTGTTTCTTCTTCCTCTGAAAAAAAAAAAGTTCACTTTAATCTTTTTTTTAATTTAAATTATTTTTCTATTTTCATTAAATAAATTTGATGGAAAAAAATATGTTTTAGTCATTAAGGCCAAGTTTGACATGTCTTGAAAAAGACAAAAAATCAAAAAGTCACTATCCTATTTAAGTCACATCATCTTATTTAAGTCACATCACCTCTCTAACACACCACTTCAAACCCAACCCAAATCCAACCCATATTTCATAAAAAGTTAAAAAGTGCACTTATTTAGATCATCCCAAACAACTAATGTAAGTATACAGAAAATGTTTAAATTATATATTTTCAATGCGTTTAATGATTGAAATATATATATTTTTAATCATTTATTTAAGAAAAATTGGTAAATAATTTAGATTAAAACAAATTAAAAGATTAGAATTTAAATCAACAAAATTAAAAATGCAAGATTTATTTTGTTCCACTATTCAAATCTTGGATTTATTTATTTACTTTTTGTTGTAATTTCTCTTATTTTTTAATATTTTATTTAAAGGTTCATCTAATTCACAACCGTCAAGGGGATTACAAACAAATACACTCATGGAAATTACATAAAATACGAATTATTTATATAATTTGGAAAGTTATAATTATTTATTTGGTAAAATTTTTTATTAATAGAATAAATAGAAGAAAAAAAAAATTGATGATAAACCGAAAAAGAAATTATGATTATTTAAATGATCATGGACAACTAGGGGTGGACCTGTGTCCGATGGCCCACTTGAGCTCATCTTGATTTGTAGATTTTTTTTTTTTTTTTTTTAACTTAGGTCCCGTTTAGGAATAGATTATTTTAATACTTTTTTTAACTCTTTATAAAATGATGTGTAGAAAAATAGAGAGAATGATATGATAATTTTTTTAATTTTTTGATTAAAATTGAAAGTTGCCAAACGAAACCTTAGACGGCGAGACCCATAAATCACTCACACTAGGCAATTGTTGATTTTGGCAGATAAGATAGTGTTGGATTGGGTAAATTTTTGCAAAGAGTATGCCCTGCCAACCCTCCCTGATAATTAAAAATTATCTTGCAGCTTTTAATCCATTTTATGTGACATCATCTCTCATATTTTTTACACTTTTTTTTTTTATAAAAAAAAGTCAAAAGATTAATTTTTAACCATCTTTCCAATAAAGTTTTATAGATATTTATAATTGTATCTATATTTTATATTGTTTAACTTTTATCATCTGTAAGCATAAAATATTAAGAAAATTAATAAAACATTCTTCTCCAACTTTTGATAGTAGAAGAGGTCTAATATATACATATATATATATATATATTTTATTAGTTAAGATCTCTCAATAATATTATTAGAGAAATTTTAGCTCGTCACAAATTTCTTTGTGATGAATTTCTTTAATGAGTTGAAATTTCTGTGAAACTAAAATTTCTCTATTAAATTTCTTTTTGAAGAGCTAAAATTTCTCTATAAAAAATGTTGAGACTATAACTATTATGAAAATATTGCGCACATTTTATTTTATAAAATCTTAATATCAAGAACCTTAAACTAAAAATCTCTAAATTTTGTTTTTCTTCTTGATTATTTATTTTGTTAAATTCACTTTTCTTGAACTTAAAACAGAGTTCCAAAAAAGGGTTAGCAGAGCTGCAAGTTTTTAACAGTTGAACTACTCTCACATTTGCAGGTAAGTTTTAATGTTCAAAATCCTCATTCATTAAAGTGGAATTCGTCCCATTGAGCATCATAACTCATCTTGTGAGGTTGTAACAATTTACTGCAGCAGAGCTGAGGATCTTCTACTCCTCTCATTATCTTCTCTGCAAAAGATCACCTACAGGGCTACAAATACATTACCACATTCTCTCCAATTAATTGTTTGCTTTCTAGATCTAACATTACAAACCATAAAATTAAGTTAAAGCTCTAAAATTATATAAAATAGTAAAAAATATCATCCACCAAAAAAATATCGTCCACCCTTCTCAAATCACAAAAATTAGCCTTCTATATAATGTTATTTGTAGATTTAGTGACTGATTAAATTCAGTTTTGAGGTGAATTAAAAATTGAATGAGTCTTTGCGGTTTTAAAAATTTAGAAACCAAACTAAATCAAACCAAGTGAGAACTAGGAAATTTGGCAAGTAGAGCTTCTTTTCTTTTTGAGAAGCAGGGCTCAAAAGAAAAATGAACTCTTGAAGCTAAACCCTTTTGAACTTTATTTTCCTACTATCAATGTTGTGCCTTTTGTTTTCAGCAATTGACAAAAAAGAGACCAAAATGATTGGTTTGGGCGAAATCGCTAGAATGTTATATTCAGATGGTGTCCTAAAAGCCTGCAAAACTGGCTGGTCTCACCTTGGCTATGTGATTCACTACAAGAACAACATTCAAAAACTTGAAGATGAAATTATAGGGCTTGAAGATGAATGGAGAAGGATCGATGGAAGTGCCCACAGAGCCAGAGACGATGCAAGAGTTGTTGAGAATGATGTTAGGCAGTGGCTATTGTCTGCGTATGGAATGAAAGCAGAAGTCGAGGTGTTTCTACTAGACATGGTAAGGGAAAACAAGTGGTGCTTCAAATGCTCATGTCCAAATATATATTGGCGTTACTGGCTAGGCAAGGAGTCCGAAAACAAGACTGCTCGTGTTATTAAACTGAAAGGGGAGGGCACCAAGTTTATGACATGCCCAATGTCACACCGCGCACCTCTCCCAGACGCTGGATTCACATTCTCTCTAAAATATGAAGCATTTGATTCAAGGAAACGCATCTTTGAAGAGATCATGAAAACATTAGAAGATCCAAGCATTAAAATGATTGGCATTTATGGACCAGGTGGTGTTGGCAAGACAACAATGGTGGAAGAGGTTCGCCAACTAACAAAGAGAAATAAGCTTTTTGATTCTATTGCCATGACAACTGTGTCCAAAGTTGTGGAAAAGGAAAAAGTTCAAGGTGAACTCGCAAGTCAACTAGGACTAACGCTAGATGAGTTTGGAAGAGCAGGTAAACTATTGAATAGATTGAGCAATGGTCGAAAAAACCTTGTAATTTTGGACGACGTTTGGGAGCCACTTGATTTGGCAGAGATTGGAATTCCTACTACGGATGGTGGTAACAATGAGACACTTATTAACTTGCCAGAAATTGGAATTCCTTTTACAAATGGTAGTAACATGGTCTGCAAAGTTGTGATAACATCACGGAAACAACGTGTGTGCCAAATGATGCAAAAGTCTAATGAACTGAAAGTTTTCCCAATCGAAGTGTTAACAGACACAGAAGCATGGAGCCTATTTACGAAGATGGCTGAAATTTCAGTTAACTCTGGAATACCCCCTGCAGCAGAAGACGTGTGTAATGAATGTGGAGGCTTGCCAGTTGCTATACGTGCAGTTGCAGCAGCATTAAAAGGTAAGAACAACTATGCATGGATAGATGCACACAGACAGCTGAAAAATTCAAAGCTGAGGGATATAGTGGATATTGATCCAAAATTGTTCTCCTCCTTAAAGTTGAGCTATGATTTTTTAGAACCCAAGGATGCACGGTCATGCTTCTTGCTTTGCTCACTGTTTTCCGAAGATGCTGAGATTTCTGTTGAGGACTTGGTGAGATATAGCATCGGGATGAGGTTGCTTGATCAAATACACCTAAATACAGTTGAAGACGTTAGAGCTAGAGTACTTACATTGGTTGATGGGCTCAAATCATCTTGTTTATTGTTGGATGGCAAAAACCAAAATAAGGTCAAAATGCATGATGTTATTCGAGATGTTGCTATATCAATCGCGGAAGATGAGAAAGGATATCTAGTGAAACATGATATCAAAAAGTGGCCAGAGAAGGGCACATATGAACATTACTCGGCAATGTCATTAAGGTTCACCACAAATATCCGCGAGCTTCCCAATGAGTTGGAATGTAGAGGACTCCATACCTTGGTGTTGAAGAGCAACCATGACTACTCACGAACAGATGTTCCAAACAATTTTTTCAATGGAATGGAAAACAATCTTGAAGTCCTGGATCTGAGTGAAATTCCTCTAGAGAGCCTCCCATCATCACTTCCAACATTAGTTAAGCTTCGGATGTTATGCCTAAATGGCGGACTGAAGAGAGACATAGGCTTAGCTTTATTGGGGAGATTAAGGAACCTTGAGATACTTAGCGTTCAAAATATGGAAAAGGTTTTGCTTCATGACGAAGGTGGAACAGGGTTTTCTGAATTAAAGTATCTTGAAGTTAAAGAATGTTATCATGTTGAACATCTTCTTGGCACACCAGAAATGTTTCTAAAAGCTCATCCACGAAGTCCACCATGGTCTTTTTGTAACTTGTGCAAATTAATTGTTAAAAGTTGTAGATCTACATTTCTATTCTCCCTCTCCATTGCAAGAGGTCTTGTGCAACTCCAATATCTAAAAATCGAAGCCTGTGAGAATATGGAAGAAATTATTAGAAATGAAAGACAAGGAGATGATGAGGAAATTATTTTTCATCATTTAAAAAAAATGGTTTTATGGAAGTTACCCAACCTCAGAAGCTTCTGTTCGAGCACGAAGAACACTTCAACAATAGAGGCAAACAATTTTAACCCTTCACAACCTCTCTTTTGTGAAAAGGTTTGCTTTTTAGTAACTTTTTCTGTTGATTTGGCAATGTTTGGTAATTGAAAGAACATAAGTTTGATCTATTAATATTTGCAGGTGGCATTCCCTGCATTGGAGGACTTGGTTATTCAGGAGTTAGGTAACATATTAGGGATAGCAGGGGACAAACAATTAAAACACCCAATCAAAGAAGAAGAGGAAGAATCCTTTTGGAAACTAAGGAACCTACCGTGTCTCCAACATCTACATATATGGGGTGGTGACAACTTGAAAGCAATAGTAGTAGCTAATAAGGAAGGAGGTGCCTACGATAAGCCTCTCGTTTTCCCTAAACTGCGTTCTTTACAATTACGTGACCTGTTGAATCTGAAAAGTTTCTATGGCAATTGTGGGCCTAAAGAAGAAGAGGAAGAAGAATATCTCCAACCACAACTCCTCTTTAATGAAAAGGTACGACTACTGTAAGTTTTATGAGTTTGTAGAGCTACAAATTTTTTAATCAATCAAGTCATAATCTCATAAAAAACTCAAGGTGTTAATACTACCTCATGCGATTAAAAATTCAATAGCTGCATATCTATAACTTTTACCCTATAAATTTACTCAAGAACTTAAATGAATGGTCTAAACGCATTTTATATATGAATCCAGAACACATAAGTTGAATTTGAGCCGTCTATCTTCATTTTGGATAAATTTCTAGGTGTTTTTTTTTTTTTTTTTATTTATTTATTTATTTCAAAGATTTATTGTTAAATTTTTTTTTACCCATATTACCTTTTGTCGTAAGGTAGTATACCAATTTTTGTGGTGCTAGTTATTATATGTTAGTTATTATTGAATTTTTGGTTATGCTAAAAAAATAAAAAAATTATGATTTTTTTTTTTTGGATGAGCAATGTTATGCATTTTTGTGATTTTATTATGACTACTTGTGATAAAATTATGAAATATCGTATGCAGTGTGTATGAAAATTTCCCTTTATTCATTCCCAACCAAAATAAGATTGATAGCAACCAAAAGATCTTAAAACATAATTAAAGTTGATTCTGAAACAGAAACCTCATACATAAAATTAACTACCTCAAGAGATAACATTATTTCCTGACCCTCTATTTCCTAATCCCAAAACTTAAAAATTAATTCTTACATTATGTTTGGTTCTAAGATTTGTTTAGGGAAGTTTAAAAATAAACAAAAAAAAAATAAAAAAAAAAAGAATGAAAGGAAAGAATAACTAAGTGAGATGAACTGAATATATATTTTTTTTTATTGGTTAATAAATCGCCCTGTTTGGTTAGAAGTTTTCAAAAATAGTTTTTTGAGTTTTTAATTCGTACTCATGTATTTTTAATGATTTTTTAAAATATTTTAATCATTTTTTAAAAAAGTTTTTAGATTCACTCAATCTCAATATACTTAAAAGTATAGAATTTGTACAAAAATCTTTTAAAAAATTCATTGAATGCAACAAAATACAAAAATATATTGAATTTTTATATATTTTTGAATTTAGTAAATTTTTTAAAGTTTTTTCACAAATATTATATTTTTTTAAATATATCTATGTTAGGTGTATCTAAAAAATAAAAAATATATGTAAAATATTTAAAAAATTAAAAAAAATAAAGAAAATTACGAGAAATAAAAAAACTCAATTATCTGAGAAGTAAGTTAAAACCAAACAAGGTCATTATTTTTCTTTTTCTTTTTTTTTAATGCAGGAAAAATGAATAGGTACAAATAATTTTATTTTCATGTTTCTACTTTTCCTCAGTAAAGCTAGATCTAAACATAGCATAATTGTTTAAGCTTTTAAAAATAATGCCCTCAAACATTTGGTATTAGAAAGATAAAATTTTATCCTCAACCCAGACAATATATTTGTTGATAGAATTATGAACTCTGTTTAAGCATCTATTTGGCATATCAAATATATAGATATTGAAATAGTTATAAAATTATTTTTTGTCATTTGATGAAGTTGTTCGATGGGTAGATTGGACCACTGGTCCTCTACTTTGAGCAAAATTTTACTTTCACCCTCCAAGTTTTAATTTGAATAATTTGATCCTTATATTTTTAATTTTGTTGCAATGTGGTCCTTCCATCATACGTTATTAATATGTTGAACTGAAAAAAAAAAAATCACGTGACTGGTACAATGAATATATTGGCCTTGTCCCATTTTGAAAACATTGGATATGAACAACATGAATTAATAAGAACATGTAAACAAAATAAACTTCAGAATAATAGTGAAAATAAAGGCACATAATCATTCCAACAAGTAAAGAAAATCGTTGTTGTCATATTCCTACACTTAAAAGCAATTGCATCAAGTATTTGTATACTTTAACAAGCATTGTTTAAGTGTATATCAACTAATTCGTTGTAAAATCTTGGCCAAATTAAAAATACACAGTAATAACCTATCTGTGTTCTTGAGAGCATTATCCTTTTTTTTTATTATTTTGAGCATACATGAGCCCTCCAAATCATATACAGAGAACTAGGACTTTGGAGTACTAATTTAATTAGCACAAACAAGTCTCATTGTTCTAGAATCAATTTCAAAACATTTTAGACTTTAAGATACTAATTGTATAACATAAATATCAAATTCACATCTCCAACAAATACACAATCCAAACAACTTCAAGGGGTCATACAGTCACCTATAAGAAGTGTAGCAAAGAAACCCTAATAGCAGTACCAAAACAATAGTCTTTAATCATAATTGTTAATTTTTATTCATTGGCAAAATAAACAAACAAACAAATGTCAATTTTTCAAAAATGAGATTCAAGGGGAGGGAAATGCTCCATTTGGTTGCCCAAAAACTTCAAAGAAAAATAGCTAAAAAAATTTACAACTTTTTTAAGCAATTATTTTTCATCCAGTTGACTTCAACGTATGCGTGGAAAATAAGTTAAAATTAATGTGAGATCCAAAAGTTTGTTTCATTCTTTTTTCTCCAGAATTTTCTGGGCAACCAAACACTATTTAGATAGAGCAACTCTAAAATTTTCCATTGTCGAGCTCTGAATATGAATTTTAACAACAAAAAACCAAAAAAAAAAAAAAATCAAGAAGAAGAATTAGAAACTAATTGATTCAAACCTTTTTGATTTGAAGAAGACTGAGATCGAATTTAGGTTTGTAGAGAGTCTCAGATACATTAATAAACCAAAAACCAATGCAATGGCAATCAACATCCTACACAAATTTTTAACATCAAAGCATGAATAAAATTTCTCCAAATTTTTCCTAAACCCTAAATAGTCTTAATTTCTCCAATTTCAACAAATTTGAAATAGAAAAAATCACAAATAACCAAAACAATACATATATATATACATGTATGCCGAATCCAAAGCAAGAGTGAAAAGGAAAAATCGAAAGAGATGAAGGAAAAGAGATGAATAAAAAGAGCGAGAGTGCAAGAGAGAAAGAGAGAAAATATCCAAAGCCGGAAACGAACCACAGCCATACGTCACCGGAAGCGAACCAAAGCCGGAAACAAACCAGAGCCACACATCGCCGAAAGCAAAACAGAGCCGCAGGTCTTACTGCTGCGTTGCTGCTTGTTGATGCGTTTTCTCTTTCCAAAGAGAAAGATTAATGCTAAAAAGAGTATATATGGGTGGTATAAGAGTAAATACTTTAAAACACTAAGGGCATTTAAGTATTTTTACCCTCTTCCGCTTGGGGTTGAGAATCTGAAGCACCTTGGAGCAACTTCTGAAATTCAGCTTATTTGCCCTCCGCATAAGTTGATAGAAGTTTAAGACCTCGTTTGGGGAGTAACTATTATAACCAAAAAGTCATTATAAGTTGTCACATCACTGTTTCTACTTTTCTGTACATCTATTCGTAAAAAGTTAAAAAGTTATTAAAATTGCATGTTCTCAAACAAAGGCCTAAGTTTTAGCTGATAGAAGTCTAACAAACAGTTTGCTTCTGCTTTTCTTAAGCTAAAAGCTATAAGTTAGATTAAATAATCAGAAACAAACACCCCCATAACATGGTATAGCCATTTCATTGGATTTTTTTTCTCAGTAATTGCCAGCACCTCCAAACCTTTATAATTTTGGATAAATTATATTTTATCATTTTATATTTGGTCATTTTTTCACTTTGGTCTTCTATGTTAAGTTTTATTTTTCAATTTATTTCAATGGCTAACTTATATTCAAAATTAGACATAGAATGACACATTGACAATGATGTGACATAAAAAAAAGGGTAAATTACAAATATACCTCCTAAGGTTTGCTTAAAATACGAATTGACTCCTGTGGTTTGAAAAATTACAAATATCTCCCTGTCAAAATTTTTTATTTAATAAAATTAATTGAAAAAGTGAAATTTCTGACTGTTCACCTATATAATAATAAAATTGTGAATTACACTAATAATCCCTATAGTTTTGAACTCGTGTCACTTTGGTCCATGACTTTTCAATTGTGACACATTTGATCCTAAATTTTGAATCTTGTTCCAAATAAGGACAATTGAATATATCATTCCTTAATTTCATAGATACAATCGTTAATTTGAGAAAATATAAACTAATTTGACAAAGATAAATGTTAAAAAAATATTTTTAAATTTTTAAAAATTATTTCTACCCTCCAAAGATAAAATTATTTAAAATTGATAAATCTTTTAGAAATTTATTTATTTTACCAAATTAATTTTTATTATATGTTTAGATGATGATTATGTAATGGCTAGTTGTTACGCTTTTAATGTGTAATCGATACATTTAATATATGAAATGTTTTTAGTTTTGAATATTTTTTTTTATTTAATGGATTGGTTTAATAATGATATCAAAGTTGCCGCCATATTTGACTTTTGAAAAAATAGAAACTAATTTAATGAAAACAAAAACAAAAACAAAAACAACCACCCATTTTATGATTATTATCCAAATACATAATAAAAATTAATTTGATAAAATAAATAAATAAATAAATGTCTAAAAGATTTATCAATTTTATATAATTTTATTTTTAGTGGGTAGAAATAACTTTTAAAAATTCAAAAATATTTTTTTGACATTTATATTTTTTGTCAAATTAATTTATATTTTATCAAATTGACAATTTTACTCTTGAAAAATTCAATGATATCTTCAATTGTCTTTATTTGGAACAAGATTCAAAATTCAGGGTTAAATGTGTCACAATTGAAAAGTCAGGGGTCAAAATGACACAAGTTCCAAACTATAAGGACCGTTTGTGTAATTCACCCATAATAAAATTATCTTAATTATTAATTGAAATAAAATTTTAACATTATTTAAAACTGTTAATTAACTTGATGATTTATTAATAAAATGACATATTTGTTATGAAATTAGAAATTTTAGGGGGTATAATGTAACTTCCAGGACCACAGGGAATAATTTGTAATTTAAGTAAACATCAGGGGATGTATTTGTAATTTACCCTAAAAAAAAGGCTAAGATTTTACGCATTTTACAC